TCAGAATGAATGAAGAGGTGCACTGGAAGTTAGGAAGAGCCTGGAATGGCCCCAGGTATCTATGTGGCTCTCACAGCTCTTGGAGTGATCAGCAAGGGAGAGCCCCACGGACAGTGCTGGGGCCAACACTGACACTGCAGAGCTTTCTATCAAACTAATTCATCAGCTAATGTGTTGTTTTTCAATTGCTAGATTAATCTGAATTAGGGAGTAATTCTAGCTATCAGAGCTGGGATCTTGTCTTGCCCTTTGTTCTTCCAGGGTTTGATAAATGAACCATGAAGAATACGAGCCACTGGAAAAGGATGTTCTCAGGGATGTGCACAGCACCAGGTAACTCCAAAATCACAGATTAACCAGTCTGTGGAATTCACAGTCTATCTCCTTTACAGGGGAAAAATAAAATAAACTGTAAAAATCTGCTGACTCAGCACAAATCGCCACAAAATTTGTAGCAATCCTAACTTTCCTCCAGCTACTTTCTCACCAAAGCTGGGCACAAGCATGGCTATCAATCTGCTAAAGCTTGCCAAAGACAGGAGGGAGAATGAGACTGCACGACTCACTGCCAGTTAATGCCATCATTTACATACAGACCACCTGCAATTACCTCCCTGTAACACAAAGGCAGAGCACAAGAGCAGCCAAGAGGAGGAGGAAGGAGACAGAAGAGCAGCTGATGGAATCTAGTAACTACCTTTTATCAACGCTTTTATCTGAGCCCCTGGAGACTCTGGTGCAGCTGAGGCCCCTGAGGAGCTCTGAAGAACTGTGCCAGGCTGAATGTGACAAGCTACAGTGCAAAACACTGGTGTGGAGGAAGAGAAATTGGAAAGGGATAGAATGTGGTGGTGAAAGTAAGAACAGCAGTAGGTCAGAAGGTGAGGAAAGAAGGCACAGATGAACAATAGCACAAGAATTCCTTTATATTTAGTTCAGTTACTCATAGTAAGTGGGGTCCTTGTGACTTGCAGGCATTAGATACAGTATTTACTGGAGCCACACATTGTCCTGGTAAATACAATTGCATGTAAGCCCTAAATCTCCAGGTGCTATGACTGTCAGTAGCTGCTAGTAATGAATACAAGTTTGAAATCAGAAATGAGAAAGAGTAAAAATACTTTACAAACTGAAGTGCTGATGAACACGCTAGATGAAAGCTCAACCAAGTACCAAAGCACTTCCACTGCCCACCTCACAGCCTCCCTGCCAAACAGCTGGGAGCAAACAGTGTGGGTGGCTCTATTAGTTTTCAGCCTTTTGAGACATGACCACCAATTCCATCTCAATGATTAGTTATTATAATGAAGCAGCACAAGTATAAAGTCTAGACATCATCTCCATCCCTGTTTCTTTAGCTTTCTTAAATAAGAACTTACACCAGAACTGCATCATCCTGCTACAAAACCCTTTGACTTCATCTGATGGTAGCTGTTAATATTTTTATAGGCTAACATTAATACAAAGGCCCACAGTAGGGTATAAAGAAAATTAAAAGATAACCATAAACTGTTTAATATCAAATGAAATAGAAAACAGGCTACGACAATGACTATGTTATTAATTTATACAAAGTGTTAAATAATTTTTACAGCTTTTATGGACCTGCTGTAAAATTCCCACTCTGAGGTGCTAAAAAGCCATAAAATACAGACAACATGCCACAAAGCAGATTAATAGGCTTCCCTCTCTAGCTTCAGAGAATGTTTTCCACACCATTCCTTCTGCCAAAAAAACCCGCCTTACACTAAGATTTGATAACAATAGCCTAGTCCTCTCTATGAAAATCATTATTCTGGAACTCACATAGCTGTATTTTCCTCTTCCTTTATTTTATCTGTTACTTAACCTTTCTGTAGCCTCTTAAATCATGTGAAAAAGATGCCAGAGTTATAAAGATGGTCGTAAAGGAATTAAGAAATTAACGTTTTTAATGTGCAGACAATACCAAAGGCCAATACAAAAGCAGCAAACATATCCAGGATCTGGGAAATCTCCTCCATTAATACATATATTGATAAGAAATCCTTCTTAATCCATCAGTAAAATCCTATTTCATAGGCAAAGATAACCCATGTTGTTTGGGTTATTTGTTAGCAATGACTATAGGTTCCTTTTCTCTGAGTTTAAAGAGGATAAAATTCTTGCTCAGGAAACAGTTTTAACCTCAAAAGGTGAGTGCTTCTTTTAAAAGATTGTGTAGATTTCCAGCTCTGATAAAGATGACTTGAAAGGATTTAAAGGATTTTTCCTGAGGGTGAAGTTAATCCCCAGAATTAATTGCCTGGTCTTCCCAATATTTGCTGTAGTACTGCAGAGAAGGAGGTGAATCTTCCTGACACAAATGCTAACCAGTTAAGCAAGTGTTAACTTCTTTACATCCCTTAAGGACCCTGTCTTGGCACTCCACAGACAAAAAGGAGCATATCTCCTAGAGAGCTGCTGGCACACTGAACACTTTCTGCAATTTTACCCTTACAGAAAGCATTACAGATCAAGATACGTTTTCAGTTCATCCATTTCAAAAATGCCAGAGAGGAAATTCAAGGGTAACACAATCCAGCAATGATTCCTCAGGATGATTGGCTATCTGTTCACACTTCCTTCTCAGAACTAGCAAGCTTGCTCCTATACAAACCAGCTTCTCACAGCTATTAGCCTTCCCTTCCTTCTCCCATATTATTGATGACTCAAGTTCAACAGTCCTCCAAATCAAGATGTGATCTAGCTTTCCCATTTCAAGTGTTGCTGGGCTAAAGTCAGTACGGAAGGATCTGAGGAATTGTAATGAGTTGACAACCACCAAAATGATTTCCATTGCAAGCAACATCTGCTGTGTCTAAATTTATAATTAAAATGAAATCATGCATGCAGAAAAGAAAAAAAAAAAATCAATAAGCTTCCATTTTGAGTTTTTCTAATGTTGAAAGAAGTTATTTGATTAACTCTGTTTTAACCTGAACATCTGGCAGTATTATAGACACGTTACGACATCCACACAAAATGACTGTAACTCTACAAATGATATCCTTTTTCCTGAAAGCATAATAGAGCTAATCTAGGAATTATTTTAGCTACATGTACTGTGATATCCATAATGCAAAAAATACTACGTGTGTTACCCACTCTGATCTTCTGTGCCTTAAGCACAGCAGGATATCCTGGGCAGCAGCAATCGAATTGCTGGAACGGCCTTCATAAAAATCATGTTACTGAGCACCCTCTCCATGGAGTACCTGCTATTTTGATGTTCATGTTATTGTCAAGCAGAAGATTCTCAGCTTTGAGGTCTCGGTGAACGATCTTTCGGCCGTGGCAATACTCCACTGCTGAGAGGATCTGCCAGAACTTGCGCCTGGCCTCAGACTCACTCAGGCGCCCGTGGCTGGCGAGGTAATCTGTTAAAAGAAAGCAGGTTTAAATGGATTAGACAGCAAGCAACAAACCTGAAACTAAGTGATTTCTCTCAAATAATTAGCACTAGGAAGGTCAAGAAGTGTTTCAGCCCATCCCGGCTTCTAAATCGTTATTCTCACACCCTCCCCTGCAAAAGAATGGAAAAGAGAGTCAGAAAAAGCTGCCACATAATGAAACTCTACTCTCTGTTCCTTCTTTTACAGTTACCTGGCCATTCTGATAGACACTTCAGTATAACATGACTCCTGTGGAACAGGGAACACTTGGATTCACCATCATGAGGTACTTGAAGCTTTAGCATTTTATAAGTTCATGCAAGCTTCATACCACGAAGCCTCAACACAGGCTGTGGTAGCTAAAAGCATTTTTCCCCTGGAAATAAACCAAGTCCCCATAAGGTACCCATCCTGACCTTTCTCTGGTCTTCGTTGCATCATAAGCAGAAAGAATATTTTGTTTTCATATCTGACTGTGTTGTGAAAACTAACGTTAGCTCTGAAACAAATGATAGCTCTGAAACCAAAGACTTCATTTATCCTCAGGAACAAAACCAAGTGAAGCAGCAGCTGTGTGAGTCTGGTCAGAAACAACTCCTATAGCCAGTTCTAACCTTTCTCTTAGGAGGCATAAAATAAAAGAATTAACTGCTAGGATGGTTTCAGAATTGCCTTCAACATGCTACAAAGAATGCTGTTAATGGCCAAAGTGCAGCATAAGAGATTGGACCCAGCGATCACATGCTGAGCATATACACACGTAGCAGCCTCCAGCCACGTGCTGCATCACAACCAGTACTAAAATTAAACAAAAACCAGTAAGAACTGAACTGCTGGAACTGCCACCAGCCCCTCCTAGTTATCATTTATAGAGAAAGCCTAATGGTGAACAAGAATCATGATTTACAGACCAGCTGACACAAACTTCTGTTTGAATTCAGGTATCAGGTTAAAACAGCTGCTTCTGCAGGTTGAAAAGTGAACACAACATAATGGAGGTTTTGGGCTTTTTTGTTTATTTATAAGAATCTCTGACAAAATCCATAAGTAATCATATCTTCTGAGCTAGTTTCAGTGATCCAAACAAGATCTTACCCAACACAATGGCAAAGCAGAATACCTGGCTTTGTTAGATGGTGTTGTGATTATTATTGTTTTTTTAATATTGTTTAGGGGCTTTGTGGATGTTTGCAGCATTTTCATTTAAACTTTTCTGCTTTCTTGATGATAAACAGAGAAGGCCTGAGCAGCTCACATGAAGCACACTCTAAAAGCTGAAAACACATTGCTAGTAAAACTTAACTCATGCTGCTCTTCTGCTTCATTGTTACTACAGATAAGGACAAAGGAATGTGTTGTTCAGGAGGAGGGGCAAGAGATCCACCCACAAACCATGAAGGTTTTTGCAAATATTGAGAAAAACATAAAAAGGAAATTATTTGTCATTGGATTGTATGAAACTGATCCCTCCACCAGCTCTGCATTCTTAGACATCACGAGTTCTCTGCTGCCACTTGGGTCACTAGACTACACTGCCATTGAGTGCTCTAGACAGTACTATATAGATTATTAATCTGAATTATATTGTCACTCATACAGTTTTAATAAATAAATGCAATAATTAATACACCATTTCTTAATATGCTCTGTAAAACAGGCTTAAAGATGTTTTGTAGGAACATAATTTAAAAAAAAAGGCTTTATAACCCATTACTGAGGTGACTTAACTTTGTTTTACTTGTGGTGGGACTGAATGGATTTCATGCCCTGCTGCTACCACCTCCCAAGCACAGAGGCAGCTGCTCCTGAACCACCTGAAGTGGCAGACTAGTGACCTCAGTTGCAGTATACTCATTTCAGCATCCCTCAAAAAACATTTCTGAGCATAGCCCATTAGACCTGATCTCTGTAACCTGCAGATCTGACAGTTCTCCTCAGAGCTTCTGACCTACCTAAGCCTTAACACACTTTCAGCTGGTTTAATTTGGCAAAGCACAAGAACAAACAAAAAGCCTGGCAGTAAGGGAAGATCATAATATTGGCACGCTAAATATCACTCAGTCACAAAGCAACTGACAAATCATATGATATCAAGGTGAAGCCAGTTATCAAAGGCATAAACTAAATTACACTGAATGCAAGCCAGCTCTTTAAGCTGTTAATCCATCATTTGTCAGCAATGCAGCAAACAAGTTAATGAATCCAAGCTGTCATTTGGTTCCTGTCAAGACTTAAGGATTCCAAACCACCTTGGCTTTAAGTCTAGAGTCTAGTAGTGTGTACAGAAGAGGTCATTTATTCTGAAACACCCATCTGTCTCTCCCAGAGAGGCAGAACATACCACACTCTGACGAGGTGATGGTCCATGCAAGGGTACTGCTTGTGCATTAACTAGCTTGCAAATCAAAGGGCTGTGATGCAGGCAGCCTGCCAGCCCCTGGTTACAGAAACCACTCTCAGACAGCTGAAACTTCCTAGAGACATTCTGCTACAATGGCTAGAATCTGGACACTGTTTAAAGGCACTTGTAAGTCCCTCTGGCACTGAGAGCCACGACTCTTTGAGTTCTGCTGCAGATACATACAGCAAAGCACCCTGCTGTACCTTGCAAAGAGGGAAATAGCAGAGCTGCCTATGCTGTCATAAACATATCCTTTGAGAAATCTTACCCTCATGTCATACCCTCTGGCTATGTGTTTCTAAAGTAGTGTTTTTTTACATTTTTCTATAATAAAAAGTAGAAACCAGAAGCTATCTTAAATGCAGCTGGACCCACAGCAGAAAGCAGTAGGGCTTTTGTCACAAGGCAGTCTCCTGTCCAGCCTCTGCAGTAGTAAAGCACATTTGTTTACTGGGTAGTTGGAAGGTTAAGATGGTATTATACAACTCAGACATTGTCTGGCAGAGCCCACAGTCAATGCTTTTCATTTAAAATACTCTCTTTCATTTAGTCCCCTTCATTGGGACTGGGGCACTTGTCATACAGGGGGAGGCTGAGAGAGCTGTGGGTGTTCAGCCTGGGGAGCACAAGGTGCAGAGGGGAATCTTACTCTTTGTATAAATACTTGACAAGAGGAAGATGGCAAAGCCAGACTCTTCTCAGCAAAAGTACAAAAGGAAATGGGAACCAAGTGAAACAATGGAAATTCAACTTAAGTAAGAAAAAAGGTGGGTTTTCTGTCTGTAGCAGGTTTGATAGAGGGCAGAATCCCTTCCTTCAACCTGCTGGCCATAATTTTGCTGTAGCCCAGGATACAGCTCACTTCTGGGCTAAGAGCACACATTGTTGTCTCACATCCAGCTTTTCATCCACCAGTACCCCCAAGTCCTTCTCTGCAGGGCTGCTCTCAGTCTCTTCCTCCCCCAGCCTGTATTGAACCTCATGAGGTTCACAAAGGGCTGCTTGTCAAGGTCCCTCTAGATGGGATCCCCTCCCTCAGGTGTGTCAACCACACCACTAAGATGGGCATTACCTGCAGACTTGCTGAGGGTGTGCTCAAGCCCACTGTTCATGTCATTGATGAAGATATTAAAGAGCACTGGTCCCAGTAAGGACTCCCAAATGACACCACATCACTTTTCTCCATCTGGACATCAAAAGGTTGACCACTACCCTCTGGATGTAACAATTCAACCTATTTTTAGGGATACTTCAAGTTTATTCTTCATTTAGGTGCAAAATGCTTGGTCTTGTAAGCACAGAGGTTTATACAACCAAACAAATCTCCTTAAGGCTTAGTATTTACACTTAAATGCTCTAGAAAACTTCTACAACTCTTTTCTATATAGGCTGAGCAGGAATACTGTAATATCACAAAGGACTAGTTGTGAAGGGAATCTGTTGTCAGTAAAATTTGGTTTGAGGACAAAAGAACACTACTTCTGCTTGCCTAATTAGCAGGACAAAATCCAGTACAGAACTCAGTTCACTTTGGTTAGGCATGACTAGTTACTGTACATATTTAATATAGGAGTCTTGTCACGTCTAGCTGGTGTTCTGTGTAAGAAATGTTCTTGCAAATATTTACCAGTTGCTCTGCAAGTTCAGTGCTTTGCTATTCCAAAGTTAGATTTACTTTGAGATCTAACTCTTAGGGATGTTTGATTTTGCATGGATAGAAGATGAGACCCACCAGACTGCCTGAGCTGATCTGTTTTCCCCTACCACCACTGGGCACACCGTGCCTGCACAAGAGCCTCTTGCAAAACCAGGCTTAAATCCCAAAGTACATTTTGGGACAAGAGAAGCAGAACAAACAGGAGTTTATTTTGCACTTCTGTGCATTACTCTCATTCCACAAAAGCAGGTTTTTTTTTAATGGGGTGGTGGATGACCTGGCTGGCATCTGGCAAAAGAAATAAACATAGTGTTCCCTTTGCAAATGCTCTTCAAAAATGTCAGAATAATTTTATGGTTCTTCACAGTCCAGCAGAGAGATGCCTTTGTAAAAGGAGGAGTACAATAACATAGCCTGAAATATTCCATTATTTCCTGTAGGTTCTGTAAAAGGCAACCTACTGTCCAACTGCAAAATGGACTGGAGATTCTGAGGAACACTTGAACAATCAGGAAAGTCAACTATGAAAGGTAAGACAACAGAACGAGTATGCAAATGCAGTTAAGCTGTTAACATGTCTGGCAGTTGAAATGTTTTCATTATTCCTTAGTCTTCCTTTCCTTCACATCTCTTGCATGAAGCAGAAGGAGGAAGTGCCAGCAAAGTACACGTAGGTAAGGTCACCCTGTCACGTGTCAAATGCTGCACTGGAGCTCTGGATGAGTGTTGTGCTATTATCACTTGTTTGTTCCACACTGGAATCCAGCAGGAGGCCACATGAGGAAACTGAAGGCCAAGATCACAATAACTGCTCCTTTGGATAGTTAGAGTTGTTAAGTTAGATATAAATCTCAGCTCTTTTAGAAACCTCAGGTGAGAGATGCTGAAGACAAGTTACAGGATGGTGGCTACAAAGATGTTTTTAAAAACATAGCTGAAACAGCTAGGTAAAAACTTCATAGATCTGTGAAGCATTAAGGACAACTGACACCTTTTTAATGAAAATGTTTTATTAATTCTAAAGATTTTTTTTTAAAAAAACATAGCATTTGAAGAGATTATAAACACATTATGTACTGCATAGTGATAGTGCATAGGCTAGTCAAAGAACAAAACAGAGCACAATAATGCTATCAGGAGACTGATTAAGTAGCAGTTTCTACATGTTTCTAAACATACTGCTTCACAAGAGAAAAAGAAAAAAAAATGTAAAATCCCCCAAAAGCAGAATCATGCATGGCAAAGTGCTGGCAACTTTAGAGACACTTGGGTACAGGACTCCAGAAGAGCATCCCAATGCTTGTGCTGTTTGAAAACTAATGTTATGGAAGGGAGAACATTTCACAGGTTTTTAGACTTGACATGGCAAATTCAATACACACAAAGTAGGAGGAAAAGCTCATATGGTTTGAGTCATCTATCTACCTTTTTTTTTTTTTAAAAAAAACCAAACACTACCATGCTCTTCTCTGCTTTCCAGTTAAACCACTGCCCTCAACATGCTTGAGCTTATGACACAAGCACTCCAATGATAAGGACTTGAAAAGGGGGAGGGGATAACCCAGACAAGAAGGGACTTTGAACATTTGAGTTATGCTTGCGTGAAATCCATCCCCTCACCCTGCTAGCATAAAAAAAGAGATCACCCAGGCTCCACCCCTTCTGCACTCCAATCACTAGGACCCTCTACACACTGACCTCTATTCCATTGCCCTCCAAGTTCATTCTGTGCTGTCATGTTGACTGACAGCTCCAGAGAAACTTTCTGAGCAACTCTGATAGTTTTCATGTGCATTTTATGTTGCAATAACAAAGTGCCTGGGTAGCAAGCCTGAAACTTACTAAATTAGCTTTATTAAGCAAGAAGAGTTGTTACTTTATCACCTCAATCCAAGTGCTAAATAAAGCAACAGGACTGGCTACGTATGGAATACTCCAGCTACAAAGATTCTTTTCCTCTCAGCATATTTCTGCCCCTCTGCTGTTTTCTGTTCTTTTTCTGTTACTCTACTAGGACATGGTAGACACATTGAGGGAGAGGAAACCCTTTTCCTGGATGCTTTTCAAACTTTAAGTTCTTGTTACATATGGTAGCCAGTGGCCATTTGCTCTTCACCTAGCACTGACTGCTGTAGTGCACTTGGTCTGAGAGCCTGCAGAAAAACCTCAGAAGATACTTCCCTGACACCCTCTCCTGCCTACCATGTTCTTCCTGAAAACATTAAAAAATGGTCCAATAAGTCAGCACATAACTGCATAAGAAAGATTCTCTCTAGTTTATCTGAAATACTGTTTGTGCCACTGCTTATTGTCAGGCTGAAGATTTAAATATTTTTTCATCTCAGCTCAATGCTGAAAACCTGGTGATTCTGTCAGCAGAGATGAGAGTTTACCCTGCACTGTTGTGTTTAACAAGCTATGTCTCCTTATAAAGAAACATCAGTAGTTTAACTTTTCTTATGCTAGTATATACTGTAAGAGTTTTCTCCTAAAGTTCATAGTTCTAAAAATTATAAACAATGACAGTTATCAAACATTTCTTAACAAATAAACAAAAGTGACATAGTACAGCAAGAGGGATCCTCAGGCAAGATAAATACAACTGGCACACTTCACAAGTTAATATTAAAATGTTGAACAGGAAAACATTCTCTTGCTTACCAAAAATTTCTCCATTTTTGGCAAATTCTGTCACAAGGTACAACATGCTCTTGGTCTCCATCACCTGTTGGAGAAATGGCACGTGAGATTCTTGGCAGGAAAAGCAAACAGCAAACACACCCCCAAAGGGATACTTATTTTCATTGTGCTTTTCTGGTGAAGATGTCAAAGTCTTTGCCTTGCACATAGTTATCACAATCTTTCACTTGGTTTTTACAAGTTACCTCCATTTCATTTGTACGCTAAGGACAAGGATAAGCTCTAAATATTTCATACAGCCAGCTGACAGAGGAGGAAGAGGATTGGATTCTGAGCCACAAGTGATTGACAAAATGATAGTATCCTAAATAGTGTAAAGACTTTCCTTTAAAAGAATCAGCCTGAAGTCACTCCCTTGCTCAATTTTTCTAACATTCTAATGATGACTGGTGCTTGGGAAAGAAGACTGGGGATAATACTGACCTCTGTTACCAATAGCTCTCTAGTTATAGAAAGAAAAATAAAAAGCAGATAAGCATCAGTCTTAAAAGTGGCAAAATTGATGTAAAAGCTCCACATCACAGGATCCCACTGTACTTGGATTCTTGGCCACAAGTGATTAACAAAATGATAGTATCCTAAATAGTTAGTGTAAAGACTTTCCTTTAAGGAATCAGCCTGAAGTAACTCCCTTGCTCAATTTTTCTAACATTCTAATGATGACTGGTGCTTGGGAAAGAAGACTGGGGATAATACTGACCTCTGTTACCAACAGCTCTCTAGTTATAGAAAGAAAAATAAAAAGCAGATAAGCATCAGTCTTAAAAGTGGCAAAATTGATGTAAAAGCTCCACATCACAGGATCCCACTGTACACTTGGGCAGTACAGCTACAGAACTATCCCATCCTCAGTATATCCTCTGGTAAGGGGAGGGAAAAAACCCACCCACCAAACTTAGCATCTTCTGCTTGCTCTTCTGGTGAGTTCCAGCCTTCCTGTTACAAGAACAGACTACTCACAATTAAAAACTGTGGAAGGCTGGAAGGAACAGAGCAAAAAAACAGGGAAAAAGAAAGATGGTAAGGGGGAGAATTCAGCACTTTTCCATGAACAGTTGTTCATAGCCTTGAACAGAAAAACTTCACCCAACAGTTCACAATCCCCTAGTGCCATGATACAAGTCAGGAAAAGGAAGCCCAGTCAGTTATCTTGCAGCTTTCTTCCTAATGGTCCATTCAGCTGCTTAAACAACTACTCAGGAATGGACCATACAACTAGCATAATTATGAGAGACTGCAAGTGAAAAATCCTTTATTTCAATGTTAAAAAAAAAGTAATTTAGGACTTCCCCTCTGTCCAACATTATTTCAACACCCAACATACTTTGGGCCTGTTTCAGCAGCTCAGACTGAGCTATTTTACTGTGGCTGTCTGCACACAAGACCTTCTCAAATCTGATTTTTACACTTTATTTATGCACAAGCTTTAAGACACTAGAAAACTACTCACAAATAAACGTTTTAGAGGAATGCATTAAAAAAAAAAAAAAAGGCAAATCCTGAAGGGTATTAGTTACAAATCCAGCAGAATTAAAAAAGACAAGCCAGCAGACAGAACAAGATAACAATTCTTCAGTCTCTCCTGCACCCTTGTTTAATTCTATAACAGTTGAGCATATTATGACTGAAATGTCTGGATCTAGAAGGCAAAACAATTTGGAAAGACTGTTTGAAACCAGCATTTGGAGGCAGGAAGCTGCAACAGCCTGTGGATTATATATATGGAACCATTTGTAATCAAGCCAAGATTGGGAGCTTCATTACCTAACTTTGACAGTCCTCAGCAATTCCTTGACATGAGACAATTCAGAAACTTCTATTGTGGACACAGTGCAGCAATGGACACATTATACAAGCAAGCTAGAGAGACAATTGGATTGAAGGCTATCTTAAAAATAACCTCATCTTCCAGCCAAATGCATTTCTAACAAGCCAACCCCTTAATAGTAAAGGGCTAAGCCCTATATAACAATTACTCCCCTCTTCAAGTGATCTTGCTGATCTCCAGACTTTACTATTCTCAGACTCTACCATTTTTGTGGTTTATCATTAATTCAGCAGCAACTGTGCTAAATATCAGTTAAACTAATAAGACATTTAACACCCTAAGGTCCACCTCTACTCAGTGAATCAATCTTCAGAAGTTCCAGTCACGTTCCCCTAAGATGAAATTAAAGGTAAACAAATCTCAACCAAGATCTTTGTCTCTATTCAGTAGAACACCTCCAACACCACAGGTCCAAGACACACACAGTGACTTGTGCTCACGCTGCCTTTATAGATGTCAGATGAACTTAAATTCAAAGTTGGGTTTCAGCATGCCCAAATCTTCATTTGTTTGTTAAGCTTAATTTCATTGAAATAAGCAAGAGTATCTCAGCAGCATCAAGTGATTATTATTTTTTTAAACAGAACACTAACAGAGCCCAAAGGGAATATTCTCAGGAAAGCCTTAAAAGCAGGAGTTTGCAGCAGAGAGGCCAGCAACCTTAAACATTTCACCATATGCTAGCAGGAACAGAAAATGAAACACAAGAGAAATATGAAACAAATCTGTATTTTACTATACAAACCATGCAAGGTAAAAAGTCACAAGTAAAAACCTTCAGAAGTTTTCATTGCCTGTGTTATCACAAGTGCAGATTTCTTACATAAACACACATTGTTGTACCATAATTAGTGATCCTTTATATTATACAGGGATGCCTTCAATTCCACAGCATTCCCAAATTGGCTATATCCACAACAGAAGTGAAACTGCAAGATTCCAACAAAAATAAATCCAAAGAACTTCTTAGCCATTTCCAAGTTAAGAAGATAAAGTGTTTGAGGATTGTTTGCTTGTTGCATGCAGTTACATCACGAGCACGTCTGCAGGATCTGGATTTACGTATCCTCATGTCTTATCTTCAGATAAGAAAAAAGGCTGCAAGTATTTCTGCACTCTGAGCTAGACTGAACCAGAGAAAACCTCTACATCCCTGCAGATCCTCCCAGCTAGTACTCACTGTAGAGACATGATGCTGGATATTCCTGCCCTACTCTAGCTGACATAGTACCCTGTCCACTAACAAAGTCATCACTGGGTATTTCCAGCTCAGCTCTTTCACTACAAACTTTACAGCTTTCTGTGCTTTTTAAGGAGATTTCAGGTACATTTGAGTATCTAACACAGCCAGCTGAGGTGGTCAGACTGGTGATCTGCCAGAAGTCACTGGTGTAGAGTGAACTCTTCATACAGGAGCAAAAGAGAGGGGGAGAAGGGGAAAAAGACATGGCCATACCTGGTAGAGCTTTATAATGTGTGGGTGATCAAGCATTTTCATGATCTGCACTTCTCTGTAGATCTTCTCCAAATTCACAGCATCCAGCTGAGATTTGTCAATGATTTTTATTGCCACCTGCAGATAAATAGCAAAAGTGAGATTATAACTGTGACATTTTCCTCCCTGGTTTATCCTCATTACAAAGGGAATAACGCAACCACGGGTCACTGGGAGCTTTCTTCTGGCTCAGAAATACATATCCCACACTTAAAAATACAGCAGCACAACATAAAACATATCAGTAGTCCCACTAAATACCTGTCAATACCTGCAAGATGATTTGCAGATAACTACATATCCTTAGAAGACCAAAAATTTCAACCAGAAGACATTTTAACAGTTAAACCAACAAGAAAGAAAAATATAAGTTCTATAAAAACCATGAAAAAAGACCAATCAAGATTTGAATCTATAAATGGTGTTTATTCACCCTGAATATCACATTATTAATGCCAAAGCAGGAGCAAGCAATATAAGTCACAAATGCTTACAATTATAATTGCATTTCACAAACTACTGAAGTATGGGAGACAGCTGCTATGCAGGAGACAAAGCTCCACAGGAGGTGAACCTCATTATCTCCAGTAAGGCTGATTAGGGACCCACCTGAATTCAGAATTAACTAGTTATTGTCTTGATTTCAGTATGCTTCTGCCTGATAACCTTCAAAAGTCACTTGTCTCCTACAACCCCCAGAAAAATAAGATTCTGCCATGAGTGAAGAAACTGATCTAGTCTTGTAATCAGTGAGAAGTTGGCTTTAAGATGCAGGATGCACTCATATTACTCAGAAGAAGCAGAACTAAAGTATTTTCCAAAGCAAACAATATTTTAAAACACTTTCTTCAAAAGATTGTTTAAAACAGGAAAAAAAAAATCACTATGTCTGATTACATACTGAAGCTAGATTTATCAAAACCCAATACACATTTATAAGCATAATGATATAAACAGCCATTAGACAGAAACTAAGGGAGTACATATCCTGCAACACCTTCATCACTAATCACAAATTACTCCATAGTCTTTGTTTCTTCAAAATACAGTGATTTTTTTTTCTGTTTTAAACAATGTCTGATTACATACTGAAGCTAGATTTATCAAAACCCAATACACATTTATAAGCATAATGATATAAACAGCCATTAGACAGAAACTAAGGGAGTACATATCCTGCAACACCTTCATCACTAATCACAAATTACTCCATAGTCTTTGTTCTTCAAAACTTAACAGTGGACACTTTGGAAGAACTGGTATCCAGGACAGTGTTCAGCCACTGCACACTGTCACCTTCCTTCTCAGCTCCCTGCAGCCTTCTTTATCCTAATATAACATGCAGCAGTTTAGGGGATCCTGACTCCTGATCTTTTCAAAACATGCTTCCCCTGTAATCTGCCAGCTATGTGCATTTACAGCACTCTCCATAATCCATCCAGTCTGCCCTCTTTTCACATTACACTACACTGCAGAGAGAAGCATCAACAGCAGCATTCCAGAGAGCAGGTCCTGAAAGATCTTCCTTTGAGAGCTTCTGTCTTTTCACTGTGAAGACACTATCTCTAAACCATGCTAATAAAACACATGGATCACCTGCTTCTGCTCCTTTTGTTACCCCTCCACCCTATTCCCACTCCTTCCACTAGGATATTGATTTACTATTTTACATTTGGTGTATGCCTAGAATTTGATAATAAACTCCTGGCTTCACACATGGCAGGAACAAGGGGCAGGCAGAAGAACAGTAACATGCACAGGGCTGGACAATCCAAATGCATACTTTCCACTTGGTCTTGCCAGATTTGCACTCCATTGACTACTCCCTATAGCAATTGCTCATTCTCTCAGCAGGTCCCTTTTTGCTGACTTATAAAGTCAGAACAGCAAGCTGCTTCCTTATTTGGTCTGATTATATGCCATGTGGCAGCAGAGGATGCAAACAATCATTCATGCAGCTTAGGGAAAACACACAACCCCCATACCTTTAAGTCTCCCTGGCCTAATTTAAGATCACACCTAATAAAATGACCTTTCATTGTTTATTTTTCACAGGCAGAATTTACTAGCTTAAGATATCACTTCACTAGAAAGTTACAAAACGCCAAAGTAATCAATCTAAACCACCAGAGCCAGGAAATAGTTATTAAAAACAACTCATGTGTAATATTTCTCCCCCTCCTCTAGTTTATTTGATACTGCCTCTCTAGAATCAGAGACACAAGTTGATTCCTCCTTCATTCTCTACATCTGTCCCAGTTTATAGTCATTATTTGGGTGATCTCCAAATTTAAGAGCAATGAAGCCCACTAGTTCTTATTTACCAGCCAATTAAAAGACTGATCTGCAGCAATATTGCATTCCTATCACAAAACAGTAATACAACAAGGTAGCTCCAGCCTTGGATAGCTGAGGTGTTCAGGAGAATTTAAATGCCTCCTTCATCCATCTGGAGTAATGCAAAAAAAATCCTGCTGTATTTTTTTGGATTTAGTGGAAACCTAATTAGAATAGTGATTTGCACTGATAGCATCAGCCCCTCAGTAACTTGAGGTATTTACAGTAGCTTCTTTCTTCACATAAGTGTAAAAGCTTTACCCAAAACTTGCATCACTTGCAAATTTTAAGACTGCCTCCTTCCTTGGCTCACTGAATTTCACCTTACAGTCACTGAGCATTTTCTCCCCTTAGTGAGGTGTTTTACAGAGCTCTCATATTGATATGATTAAAATCCCTGAACAGAATCCCATTTCCTGAGCAACAAGCAGTAAAATTTCATTAAAAGGAAAGAAACACTTTAAAAAAAATATAGAATGGGTCATATAAATTTGGGAAGCATGGCTACAAATCCTGCTAGAGCCTTCACTGTATGTTCTGGCTAAGAACAGTGCTCATATTCCAACATTTCCTACTTTCTTCCTTTTCCAGAAGTTTCCTACCCTATCTCCTTGCTGCACACATTTACAAATACAACTCCCCAAAACTACTGAAAGCCTGAAACCAAATCCTTCTTCCAAGTGTGGGCTCAAGATAACAACTCTTCAGGTCACATGTTTCTTGGAGCAGAATGGCTCCAGAAAAACCCTCTTTCAATAGTTCTGAAACATCTCCTCACCTTGTGATACCACAAGTAAAAAGTGATCATAGATTCAGAACATGTCACAGGAGGTTAAGACTCCACAGAAGCACAAAGTAACTTCTATATTGTCTATACAATCATCCACCTACTTTCAAAATTCTAACATTAGCATGTACCACTGATGAAAGTATTCTGCCATTAAAGCTTTTCAGCCTGAAAAGATCTGTTTGGTCTACACACTGAGCATTCAGGGAAATGATGCATCAAGGACTTGGATAAATACTTCCACAAAAATGTTTTTATGAAGATATAACCAGATAATAAAGAATATTTTATTAATGCTGTTAAGTCAGTTAATACTGAACTCCTCAGGCAACTATGGAGCTTGAAGAGTTATGTCATATGTGACTTTGCAAATGCTGGAAAACAAATTCTTTTGGATCATTACAGAATGAACCACTGTCTCAACAGGGTACTTGCCACCTCTGGCATCATGTTAAGAGCTGCTACATCATATTTTGTGCTGCTACATCCATAATCTGCTCAAATAAGGAAAGACTTCTTTAGCTAGGTGATTCAATTGACAGCTATCACTAATGTATTCATAAAAAGCTTGTGTTGTGTAACCACCTTAGTTCAGTCTCAGATAATTCTAAGCACAGCTCTCCATTAATTAAGAGTACCTTGAGATGCAAACTAGTGAAGCAGCAGCTATACTTCCAGCTGAAATATGTTTTTAGTTTGAAAATCCCACCACACGACATCAAACCATATTTTGTCTTACAACGTGCAGTTATTTGGTACTCTGAAGCAGTGGGGTTTGAACACAGAGTAAAAGCATGTGCCTACTTGAAGGAAAAAAAAAACCATTTGCAACTCTTGTCCAACTCTGAGTGTGTGTATTCTATACTTGAACTCAGTGGCAGGCTTCTGTAGGAGAAGCAGCATAGTAGCAGCTGGCACCACTGCTTCTACACTCAAATGCAGATTACATCTCAGGCTGTTCTGAATCTTCAGTTTTCATACATCTTGCCAAGGCCACAGATGATTTATAAAAAAAAAATAAAAAACACTTGGAAATACTTAAAATCCAGCAACTTCTTCAGAGCTGTGTGAGAAGGAACAGTACATTTAACAGCAGCAGCACTCTGATCTCAGCTGCATCACGATGACAGGAAAAAGGGAAGTGTTCTTAAAGGTGGAGAAGCTGCTTCAAGATAGGGAACAGTTTCCTACCTAAAAAGTGTTTTGTTCCTGAATATACAGCTTGCTAACAACAAATAGCATCCTGCAGAGACTGGAACTTTAATCTTTTGAGAACAGCGTAGAGAGACTGACTGCAAACAGATGGATTCTCATTTCTCTCATGTTGCCACAGCAGAAGCAAACTAACTTTAATTTTGCACGTGCCAAATTAAGGGCAATTACACAAGTTTTGTGACTCTAGTTTTGGCTTTTAATAGTTATCATAAGGAAAATAAAAGGCAACAAACCAAAACATCAATATATAGTATTAGTGAGGACTTCAAATGATGTTAAAAAGGGAATCCCGTTCCTTCCCTTCACCTGCCATTTGTTTTTGCTGCCTAAAGACTTAGATTCCAAAATATCTTTGCAACTTCTGTGATTTTAAAAAGAACTTAAAAATATTAGGAATTGCACACATTTCCTTCCTCCTTTTACTAAAGGCCCTAAAGAACTGGAGTTTGCTCAATCCTCCCAGGAATTCAAACTGTCAAGAAGGCAAAATGCTTATCAAAAAAAGATGAAAATTCTGTCCTTCAGCTATTCCAGTTTACAGTTTTCTTTGGTTTTATATGATTCATTTAATTCTAACTAGTCTTTCAAAAAACAAGAAAATCCTAAAAAACTGTAACATCCCCCCTCCCCCAACCTGGCCTAACAAGTTGGGATACAAAAAGAAGTTTATCCATGCAAGCTTTAGGTTACAGAAATTCAGATTTGGAGCTGTTAACCCAATACCTCCTAGAAGCAGATA